GCCGAGGGGGGACGCGGCGCGGGCCGCTCCGCGTGGGCGCCGCCGGGCACGGGCGAGGGGAGGCTTTGCACCGAAATGCTTTTATTTATTCGTGCATTTATTTATGTATTTTCAGCAACGTGCTGCCACCAACCCCCTGGCGCCCCCCGGGGAGCTGCGGCCACGCGGCTATTTTTAAGGGTTTATTTCGAGCAGGTGCAAACGCGTGCGAGGGGAGGAGCTCTTTCCGCCCCGCGCCTCCCGGCTGCGGAGACTTGCGGGAGCTGCGCGCCTCCCTGCACCTCTGCAGGGTGCGGGAGCCGCGGGTGGCCCCGCCGGCCCTAGCGCCGAGGCGGCCATGGGCTCTGGTGCTTGAAACGCTCGCGATGGCTGCGCCGAGAGGGAGGCAGCTCTGGGCGGCAGCGGCGAGCGGCACTCTGCCCGCGGCGGGACCGTCCTCGGGGCACCCGCGGAGGCGTGGCGGGGGCCGGGCCGCGCTCCGCAGCGCAGCGCCCGGCCGTCCCGCGCGCACGGAGCTCGCGTTTTATACGCACAATGAAGAGAAAGAAAGATTATATTGTGCAGCCCGCTAATCGCATTGCCGCGCGGCGCGCTAATCCGGGGCGCCGGGGCAGCCATGCCGCGTCCCCCTGGGGAAGCGGCCGCAGCGGCGGGGCGCCGCCGTCTGCCCCGCTCCGCTCCTTTCCTCCTCCCCTCGGGTCCCGCCTCCATAGCTCGCTGCCTTAATCCCACCCTGCCTCGGAGCCAGCCGCTCCGCCAGTAAATTTAATCCCCCTCCTCCCCGGCCCCGCGCCGTTAATCCGCCGGCAGCGCCGTTGAAGGAGCGCGGGGCGGGGCGGCGCGGGGGCCGTTAACGGCCGCGAGCGGCCGTTAACGGCCCCCGCGCCGCCCCGCCCCGCCCCGCGGCAACGCGGTGACAGCGACGAGCTGCAAACGGGGGACGAGTTTTAACCGCGATTTCTGTGCTCTGGGTCTCCTCCGAGCCGCACCACGGGGAGAGGCTCTAGTTACTTCGGCGTCAGCATAGCCGATCCCCTCAGCATCCATTTAGCAGCGCGATTGCCCTGATTATTTACATATATTTCAAGCTGGATAAGTGGAACTCTGGCTGCACCCGGGGCGGGAGGGATGTGCTATCAGGCCAAGAATGGTGGCACGAAAAATAAAATAATTGCTTGTTTATGACAGCTCTTTTATTTACCCCCCGCCCTGCCATTTATTTTCATATAATGAAAGGACTCTCAGAAATCGGTTTGGTTTCAGAACTTGATTTGATTTGGGATCTAAAGTTACTTGCCTATTCATTTAATTTCTAGTCATTAGATTACAAGAGAAAGCATTTTTGGTATTTCAGTATTAAGGATTTTTTTTTTTTTTTTTTTACTTCAGACAATTTATACTGACTGTATATTTAGGGTAATTTTCTAACCAAAGGAACTGCGACTTAATGTATGTTTGCTTTCTTTCCCTGCAAATCTAAAACAGAAGAGAGTTCTGCACCAAACAGAATAATTGCTGAGGACAGATAAATTTTAGCTAAACAAACTCACCCTAGATCTGAAAGCAATTAGAGAAACTCAATGAGTACAAATAATTCCTGGGTACCAAACCAAGTGGCAGGGGGGTAAACCAGATGAATGGAGCTTGATTTGCCAGGAGCCCTAACCCTGTTTCCCCAAAGAGGCACCAGATAATCTCATGCTACTTCTCTGACAGGAAACAAGAGCAGAGACAAAACACAGCCTGAGTTTGCGGGCAACATCCACTCAAGAACACCAAATGCTGACATTAAATCATTACATTATAGTCAATTGCTACGTACATTTTGAGGTGTTCAAATCTTCCGCTGACTTTGTTGTGGGTTTGAATTGTAAGCAAATCTAGATTGGCCTGCACTATGTGCTTCACATCACAAATATTTCTGAAACGGTTAACGGCAGAGCAGTTTATCTTACACTTGCGTTTCTTCATTAGTCAGGAAGACTCTTTGACAGAGATATTTTTCCCCTATATCTAGGGCTTTGAAAAATACAGACCAGATTTTTGTATTATAGAAGCTTTGTAAGAAGCAGAAAGTCCAAAAATAATTTATTTTTCACATATCAGTATTCGATGTGGCATCAATTGCAAGAACTTATTATTCTGGGCCTTTCACAAAAGTGTTTTCCATTCACTTACTTTCCATTCTTTCCATGTTTCATTTCCAGACCCCCCATTGACTAATTTCTTCTTTCAAAAGACACAGTAGAACCCCTTTTTTTTTTTTTTTTTTTTTTTCCATTTAACCGTCTGTCAGACTTGCCTCTCCTGTTCTTCATTCCCTTACCATTCCCTCTGTTCTTAACTTATTAGGCTCAATCTGCAAAGTTGCATGTATCTCCATAGCTTAAAAATCACAGGATCACAGAATGGTTGAGGTTGGAAGGAACCTCTAGAGATCATCTAGTCCAGAACCCCTGCTCAAGCATGTGGCACAGGGCGGCATCGAGGCAGGTTTGGAAGATCTCCAGAGAAGGAGACTCCACAGCTTCCCTGGGCAGCCTGTGCCAGGGCTCTGTCACCCTCACAGGAAAGAAGTGCTTCCTCACATGGAGATGGAACTTCCTCTGTTTCCATTTGTATCCCTTATCCCTTTTCCTGTCACTGGTCACCAGAGAAGAGTTTGGCCCCATTTCTTTGCATTCTCCTCTCAGGTATGGGTACATACTGATCAGATCCCGTCTCAATCTTCTCTTCTGCAGGCTAAACAGGCTCAGCTCGCTTAGTCTTTCCTCATTCCATAGATGCTCCAGTCCCTTCATGATCTTTGTTGCCCTCCGCTGTTGCCCCCCCCCTCTAGAAGCTCCACATCCGTCTTGTCCTGGGGAGCCCAGAACTGCCCCCAATACTCCAGGTGCGTCCTCTCCAGAGCTGAGCAGAGGGGCAGGATCCCCTCCCTCCACCTGCTGCCAACATCCTCCTGATGCAGCCAGGAGCCCATT